TGCTAAAACATGTAATTTGTTGGACCCAAGCTGTAAAAATAAATAAGAGGATCAAGTAAGTTATAAAACATGAGGTCAAGTTTTCCTTTTTAAAATTAATTGGTGAATTTTAAGTTTTATTTAATATATTTCTGCTTTTATTATTAATTATGTCAGTTTTGGTCCTTCATAAAGTGGTGCCTGCCAAATGTTAATTAAACTGAACAAAATCTTATCTAATCTCTACATCATTCTATGCATCCAGCAGAGCATWWATWTGTTCATGTGTGTGACAGAGGGAAAAGTGGACAAWAGTCGTGCCTGTGTGTAACAAAGAGGATCTGCTGCACTAAAGAGTGAGCAGAGGTGACTTTAAGGCCTTTCATGTTTCATTAGAGCTGTGGTTAAAACACATACCCCTCACCACACCAGCCTGCCTTGTCCACTCTTCATTTAGCATCGGATTCATTAACACGTTTGTTTCCACACACTCACATACAGGCTCGCCTCAGGCCCCACCTCCCCCCACTTCAACCACAAGCTCACTATATTCATTGTGTGTCTTCTTCATTCAGGACAAAAGACATGGGCTCAGATGTGTCCTTAAAGGGACACAAAAACAAAACCTCCACATTGACAGTTTTACATGCAAACATGCGTGCAGGTCTTTATCAGCACTCCATCAGCGACCTGTGCTCACAAGTCACAGCTGACATGCAGCAGCTGAAAGTGGAGTTTAACATGCAAACAAGGCAATCCTGCTGTGTCTCATAAAGATTTCATTTGGAAAAAAATGCCTTCAGAGAAACACATAAAAATCAAGCAGAACCAGAAGAGCAGGGCTAATGTGGATAAACATTTACTGTACATATAGTAGTCACGGTTCAAGCTAATAAGTACTGTAAAACAGATGAGTCAGTGATTAGTTAATCTGTTTGAGCCTGTTTACACTTTCCAAACAATAGATTAAAACTGTTGTTGTCTGCAAATTTTAGTTAGTTGGTTAGTTAGTTAGTTAGTTAGTTAGTTAGTTAGTTAGTTAGTTAGTTAGTTAGTTAGTTAGTTAGTTAG